ATAAGTAATTAGGGAAGTTTTGCTTTCTTTCAAAAAGACATAAATCCCTCCTAATCTACTTACCCCTGTGGTGCTTGATGGGTAATAACTGGAGTGTTTTTTATAGGTGTGGTTTCAGGGGAACTGAATATTTCAATGACTTCCATTTTGACCTACAAACAACAGCTAAAGTCTAGATGTGTTTTATTATTAATTTCTTATAAAGATGTATGAAGTGTCAAACTACCTTGTAATCCTTCTCTGCACATGGTGTCAGCCATGATACCTCAGGGAGTACAGAATCTGAACTGCACATTAGAAAGAAATATTTTATCAGCTGTGGAAGCTGATCCATAAAAGAGTTTTTTAAACTTCACATTAACTTTTATCTACAGCATAGCAGCTCTTGATATCAGTGTGTTTTGCATATTTAAACACTTTGCTGCATTAATCAAGAGAGACATCTTGAAGTTTTATTAGTGAAAACAAGACTAATTTACCTGTCCGAATCAATGTCTACCAAGTCTGCAAGGGAGAAATTATAATATCAAAATATTGTGTAAAACTTTCACATTATAAACAATAAAAGAAACAAAACGTTTTTAAGGCACGCCTACCTATAAATTGAAAAACAAAAGCAAATCTAAACTTAGTACCTACCAGAAGAAGCCATGTTTGGCATTCCAGATGAAAGAGGCGGGAAAAAAAAGGCTCGACACGCATGATCAGCATCCACAGGAAGCCCACGGCAGCTTTTATTAGTATGACCGCTGACCAGTACGAAGCTCATTCCCCATTCCCCATTCCTCCATTCCTCATTCCCCATTCCTAGTTTTAGTAACATCCGATAATTACCTGTACTATACCTTCTACAGTCGTTCGAAGCAATTCTCACCGCTAAGATACATATAAAATTTTTCATATATAACGCGCGCTCTGATTGGCTGACGACCGTGTTTATATCAGAGGACAGAGACACGGCTTACCGGCAAAATTTTCTTTTCGCTCGAAAAATTTTATAAAAGAAATATAAAACGGCCGCTTGTGTCTCTGTCCTCTGATATAAACACGGTGGGAGTTGAAAAACACTCGAGAAGCAAGAGAAACACTCGCTACGCGTGTTCCTAAGCTTGCTTCTCTCGTGTTTTTCGAATTCCCACCGTGGTTATATCAGAGGACAGAGACACGCGTCGAGTCGAAACCTTTTAAAAGTCTCATATAAGTTGTCATCAAACTTGCTATTAATTTTAAAATATTTAGTGTTGAGACTTGAAACTATGTCTGCTTACTTATTTTGATCTCCTCTTTCCATTTCTGAACATCATTTTGTCATTGCTGATTAATTTAAGGTAGGTGTGGTCACGTGACTCCTAGCTAGAAATGGCCTATTGCAATTTAGTAAGATATTACTCATAATGCCCCGATATCATAATGTATTTTAGCGGTCAAATTTTTGAACTAACTGTATTTTAACGACAAATAAACTAGTGCAAATTTATTAAATTTAAATTCAATTAAAAAAACATTAAAATTAAATTACTTTTATTTAATTAATTAATTAATTTTAATTTAATTTCAATTTATTAAATTTACACCTAATTGCAAAAATTGTCATAAAGAAAAACAATTGAATTTCAGTAAAAGGAATTCAAATCAAAAAATAAAAACAGAAAAAACAATCAGTCACGTCGAACGCTTTACTTTTTCATTTTCTATGACAGCGTTTTTGCAATTAAGAGAATATATGGTAATATAAATTGCTTACAGTTCATGCAAAGTCCAGCATCTCTAATCAATTTCCTGGATTATGCGTAGAAGCATGAGTTTGCTACCTCTCAGATTCATCCAGCCTTGATTGTAAACTTCCGTCCAAACTACGACAAAGAACTCTGGGAACGTTTTGAAGAAATGGTCATTCAGTAGTTCGTCTTTTCGGTCAGGCGATCTCTCTTCATAATGGGCGTATGCATTGCGAAAAAATCGAATGAGACCAAGGACTGAATTTGTGTCGATATTTCCGCGTCCTCTTGAGGTTACCTCTTGAAAGAGAGCTGAAATGTTCACGTTCCAACTATCTCTCATAACTGCTTGACCAAACTGAGTGCTTTGGAGATTCTTTCCTAATGTAGAATTCGGGCAGCTTGATGGTTTAGCAACCTCTTTCTGGTCGCCGATTGCCCACATAAACTTCACCTTCTTCATATTTGTCCAAAAATAGCAATGATGCTTTTTTAGGTCTACAGATGATGGTCGTTTCTTCGGATCCTCGCTTAAAAGACATAGGACCAAATGATTTTGCTCTGGAGTTAAATCCTTTCTGATGTGTCCATTGCCTTTACTGATGTTGGTTTCCAACTCATACGCCTTCAACGACCCGGTTGAAATTGAGTCCAACAATTTCACTGTGCTTGAATGAAATGGATGAAATCCTTTAGAAAACAAGAAGTGGAGCAGCAGACCTAAAGCATACATGTCTGATTCTTTGCTGTGAGTATTCTGTGTTCTTTTCACGAGCTCAGGTGCCATCCAACCACGCGTTCCGCACAAGGAAGTTGACGCAGTGGTGAACACTGACGTTTGATTAANCCAATTATATTAGAATCGTACCGGCAATGCTGAATTCTTTTAGGATATGGTTGACAGCATAATCCTTCTAGGCTGCTTTTATAGCGAATAGACTGAATGTCAATGTTAACTCTTCGTTTGAGTTTGGTTCCTTTAAGTACTTTCAAGATGTCCTCACAATACGGACCTGASTGGAGAACTCTATCAAGTGTATTCCCCTGCCGATCTTTWAGGGCCTTGTTTGCACCATATTCACAAAGGATCTTTACAAGTTGTAAATGCTGAACTTTATTTACATTCTTGCAGCAGTAGTGAAGCACTGGATCACCCCCATAAAATSTTGTTTGATTAGGATCAGCRCCGTCCTTTAAAAGGTATTCGATGTGGGACAAGATCATTGTTATCAATGTTTGAGCTKCATTTCCTAGTTCAAAGAACACAGTAATAAGTACAGAAAGAGTTTTTATTCGTGTTACAGCCGTTCCATCATGTGTTGTAAGAACCACGAGCCATTTCTCAACGAGATTGCGTATGAACACCATTGAATCAGGAATAATGTCGGAATGRCGGACCATAAACGTTATAGATGATAACACGAAGTCCAGACAGTTTCCTTCGATGTCGTCTGTCGCCATTAGATTAAAATCATTACKTTGAAAAACKTTGAAATCAATAAAGTTAAGCTTCCTGSTAGGATTTATCGCCATGAGATGGTGGGAATATTCACGTGGAATGTTTACATAATTCGCAAAGGCTTCTTTGACGCTCGTCCCATCATCAAGCTGTGTATTTGGAAGTGAATGGAGGACGATMTCTTTGATTATACACATTAAAGGAGTGTCTCCGTTCATATTTTGTCGATCTTTGGCCGAGCCGTTCTCGCACATAAAATCGACGAGTGTGTCGGTAAACGCGTAGTGCAAAGGTGTACAGCCACGATCGTTAACAACATTCGGGTCAACTTTGGCAGTTCTTGTCATCCATTTGCCGATGCTGACCTCTGTATCTGTCAAATCATTAAAGCGAGTACAATAGATAGTCCACTCATGGAGAATAGAGTTTCCTCCTGGTCCTCTATCTGAGAAGGGTTTCTTGATCTCTACTTCTAGACATTTCAACTTCTCGAGTCTTCCAATCGTGTTTTCCTCGCATGTGAGACCAGGACGACCTGACGGCACATATCCCTTTTGTGAATCTAGGAGGTAGTTTCCAGCGATAATGTGAAGTGCGGTCATATCTTGTGCGTTCTTTGCACAACGATTGGCCTTCGCTTCAATCAGTAATTTCATCAAATCGATTTGAAAATTRCGGGTTTCTTGTWCCTCTACTGGAAGTGATGCAATTAGATGGAGTACGGTGTTGTTGTTCTGACCTTGATAATTAATATCACTGTTATTCAAAAGCATAGAAATGACTTCGCAAAGAATATTCTGCCTGTACTCTTCAATTGATTGATTCTCTAGAATAATTTCCTTGCTTTTATGTGAACCTTTCTTAACAGAGTAAACTGATTTTCTTCCACGAGTTATGCCAGGAACTGTTTCCACGAAGTGCTTCCAACATTTATCCATTGATGTCTGCTGTAAATCGCTTACGATTTGTTTAAGTTTTTCAAACTCATTTAGACCAATCGTTTCACTGACAAGTCTTCCGATCTTTGTCACCGTTATTTTGTGTCTCATCGGCCTTAAGATCCCYCGAGTGATTTCCTCAGCTATACACAGTATAACTTTCTTCAAAGAGTCCTGCTCTTCCTGAGACATCTTGCTTCGGTACGTCAGATCGCCTTGAAGGCGTCCCAAGCTATGTTAATCGCTCAATCAGTTCATCGGGAGTTCATCATCACTATTTCATCAACTGAATAGAGAATTTAAGTCGCGATCTATGTTTTAACTCTGGTAGAAAACTGATAATTTTCTTTGACTAGACTTTTCTGCGAAATTCTTATTGTGCTGGGTTCCCGGAAAAAAATTGTTATCATCAATCTGTCACATGACATTGAAGCGTGACAAATTAATCAACATGACATCATYACATTAGCATAAGTTAAAAATGTCATGTTTCGTTACGTTTTGCGAACTAATTTTTTATTTAAACAACTCTTGGATMTCAAATAAAATTTGTAAACGTCTAAAGTTGAAATTAAGAATGAAAGACAGTTCGAAAAGCCTGCTGAATATAATAGAGTTAGAACTTCGTTCACGGATATATGGAACGGGACTAACAAGCGGAAGGACTGCGGACAACGGAATGTAGCAAAGTCGATACGAGATACATCCAATAACGCTGTGTTGTTTGTCACCTAGCACCTCAAGCAACCGTAATTTTTACCATTCAATAAACAACAGACGCACTAACTGTTTTAATTTCAAGTTAAAGAATGAAGATATAAGGCMTGAAGTCAGTAGAGTTCATGTTCAAAGTATCTTAGTATTTTAATATTGGAACGGACCACATGACTTTATGTGAGATATTCTGGAAACATATCATTTGAAATCGCCATCCCAAGTGTTTCACACACAATGCTACGTTTTCGCTTCTGTATGTATCGAAATTGCTTTCTGATGTTTACTGTGTGAGCTCTTCATGAATTATCGGTCATGTAAGCTATTAAAGAATTAGATATCTAATTAAGTTTATTAAATAAAAAGATTTGACAAATTTTCTTTTTATTGCGAAATATCTAACGAGACTTCTAGTTTAACGCAATGAAAAAATATCGAATCTATCGTATTATAACCTTAGAGACCTGCTACAGTCTGTCTGTTTACCATAGGAAAGAGCTCCTTAGATCAAACTTAAAATTCGTTAGAAAAATTTAACATCCAAAATTGTGAGACAATATTTTTGTTGTTGTTGTTGATTTGATTATCATCTACCTATCTACACATTTTGATAATCATATCTGTCCCAAAATAAGTCTGACGTCAAGTGTGAGTCGCCACTATGACGACCGAGCTTTCTCTATGATATTTCATCTATCCCTTGCTCTGTGTTTCGAAAAATAGATGTATTTTACATGTAAAATACGTAATGGCAAATTAAAGAAATGTGGTGTTCGTCAGCTAGTCGCAATTTTTGCTGAAAAGGGAAAAATACGGCATACATTATTCAATCCTGAATAACACGTGATTATCATGTTTGGAAATATTCTGACATCATAACGAAGTAATAGCGTTTTCGTAAATCGCTGCACAAGATTTGGCAAAATTCGGTGCTATGAAATTCAAATTGTTAGAGAACAAATTGTGGTAGAGACGAGACTGTTGTTGAAGCGTCCTTTATTTGTAAATCCAGAATAGTTACAAAACTGTCTGCCAGGCCGAAATTACATTGTGCGTCAGTTTAATATTATTCTTACGTCATAAGTAAAAATACAAGAGTTAAATTATGCCGGCTATAGTCCAATAATTTAGTGATTGTACTGCGAGCGTATAAAGTCCACCATTGTAGCTCTGCGCCACTGTTCTTGTCCACACAGCCGATGGTTAAAGAAATTGTTATGCTTAAAGCTCAGTAACAGGTACTGGTTTATTGTTTGACTGCCAATGTATTTGAAAACATCACAATTATAACGAACGTTATATTACAAACTCTGTTATAGCTCGAGCTTTATAGTTTTCTAAACGAGCTTCATCCAACTGGCTTTCATCAGCTTTAACAACAAAGCACTACTAGTATTATTTTTCACTTGACAGTAATCACTCTACAAAAAACGGGCTTGAGCAGTTAGGTCATGTTAGGCCAGAATTGTCGAAAGAAATCATCGAATAATGTAGCATTCGTCTGATCAAAACATAAGCAGTTTGGCTAGCAATATTCTTCACGAAACGGCAAACGTTATCATTCCTCGATATCTCGTACATGATGCTCAGGGGTTTAAGCCTTATTCTCGACTTTAAACATCAAAATTAAGACGATTTTTATTAAATTCACGCTTGAATAGTAAGGGATTCACTTTTGATAATAGATTCAATAATACAATAAAATATGCGCATATCGGGACCTTTGTTTTGATCTGATTGTCCTATGCGGTGTCTTCAAACACTAGCTAACACTGCTACATGCTGTGAATGTTATTTGTAACTAATGAAGCAGTGTTTTGACCACAAAAACATGGTCGGGATTTCGGTAAATCTAAAATCGCCGTTCGGACTTCAGGAACAACCGGAACCCTACAATGAWAAATCGGATATCGTATCAAAAGTTGATAAAAAATTCAAATGTCGTCCACATATGTGATACCTTTTTGTAGCCTTTTTGTATCTACATTGATAGGGAATGTAAAATTTAGTATAATAGAAAATATAATCAATATTTATAGTATAGAGAAAAACGTAACATATTTATCATATAATTATCTATGAAATACCTATATTTCTCCATTTCGTACAGTTGATATTTTCACTTAGTGAAAATWAYACATTCGAGGTTTCTCTATATAGTGGAAGTATAAGAAAAAAAGGTATTTTACGACATAATTTGCTTTCATTATGATAAACAGAATATTACATGGTCGCTTGGAGATACGAATTTTATCTTCTCGCGCGCGTTGCATGAGAATCTCAACACTCGAAGATAAAATCCGTATCACCGCGCGCCCATGTAATATCCTCTATTTATTAAAAAAGGCTATACAAAAGAAAGGAGTATGTTTATGAGAATTTCAAAGCTTGAATTTATTGACTTTGGTACATTTTTACAGTTGGACGAACTTATTATAATATGTAAATGTCGATTGATTTTTATATCAAACTCCTCGGCAAAAATAGTCCACATACAAGCAATCATATTAGATGTAGCAAAAGATCGATGTTTGAACCAGCCTATTCGAACTTCACATCACAGCAAACTGTACAAGAATATCTTATGTATTTACCTTGATTCTTGAACTTCCGATAAATACTGCTTTCTAAAATACCACAGAAAATGCGAAATAGTCATAGTGTTTATCGTCGGTAAAGCTGAAACCAACGGTGAGGCATTCAATGACAAACTCACCTTAATTATCCTGTTCAAAAATATCATCTCAGTTCAACAACACCATAATTATTTCAAACACAAGTTTCATCAATTTATATTTATTTAAGACTGTAAGTTTGTCTTTTTAAATCTCTCTCAATCCAGTGCTGCTGATATGGTCTTGATTTCAAAATGTCCGACAMAGTTCACACATCGTTGCTTTTCACCATATGTTTGCAGTATTTCTCATACAGCATACTTGTTGTCGATATATCAAGCGAAAAGTCATGCTATTTTTCTTATAAGTGAGCCTCAAAACGCTTGAAAGTAAATTGCTTTTTAGCGGAGCTCCCGCGCGGGCCGAACCATAGCTAAGAAAAAATGGTATACCATCGAGTCGATTTTCCATGGACCGACACAGGGTTCCCGCGCCTACGCACGTTTCCTTCCGTCCGTCCTTCCTTCCTGGAGTGCGTGTACAACCACAGGAAACCCATACTCCGCTCGAAAAGGAAACAAAGCGCCAAGTATTTGTTGAAAAATCGACATTTTTTCCTTAAACATTTATATTACATATTGATAATATTAGAACAATTAATCACAAGGAAAAAATTCACAGAAGAGCGATATAACAGCACAGAAATATTCCCGCCAATTTTGTCATA